CCTGTTATGAATTGTGTGTTTGCATCCCCCTCCAAATCATTTGGTAAAGTCCAACTCTGGTGTTATGATGTTGGGGGGGGGCCTTTGGGTGGTGAGTAAAATTGGATGGGGTTATGAGGGTAGAGCCCTCTTTGTGGAGTTGTTATCCCTATGGGAAAAGACTATAATTAGTTTTCCTCTGTGTGTATCCATTAAGGAAGGGGGTGTAAGGACATAGCAGGAAGAGGACCCTCACCCAGGACTCAGCGTGCTCTTTCCATGACTTTAGATTTTAGCCTCTACAGCTGTGAGAAATAAATCTTGACGCAGTTTAAAAATATATAGTAGGCAGAAATGATGGAGAAGTCACATTCCTGGATGATCTCTCTCCCCTCAGGCTCCTCAGCTCCTGGCAATCGTTAGTCTACTTTCTGTCTCTATGAATTTACGTCTTCTAGACGTTTCATGTCAGCAGGAGCATGCCATATGGTGACTTTGTGGCTCGGTTCCTTCACTTGCATAATGTTTCAGGTGTTAAGTTTGATCTAAATCAGGATCAGTATTTAATTTCTGTATGTGGGTGGATAATATTCCATTGCATGGATAGACCACATTTTGTTTGTCTTTTGGATGCTGCTTTACTGCTGGATCTTTTGGTTATTATGAATAGTGCTTCTGTAAATATTCATGCAAAAGGATTTTCTTTAAAAAAATTTTTTTAGAAAGATTTATTTATCAGATCCAGTATGGTGGTATATAAACTAATCTGTTCTGGTTTGTGTCCTGGTTGATCTACTTCCTTTTTAAAATTATTTTTTTATTTTTACTTTTCATGATACAGTTCCATCGGCTCAGAGATTTTCCATTCCACCTTCAGTATTCCCCCTTCCAGACACCGTCTTCTCCTATATCATGACATTGTAGGTATAGACCTTTCTTAAATCCTGGTTTCTAATTCTTTTGGTTATGTGCCTAAGGATGTAAAACTGCATGCTATGTCTGAGTGCTTGGGTGTTGCTCCTGGCTGTTTTCAGTTCCCTCATCCATGGAGGCAACAGCTGATTGCTCACAAAATTGAGTCCCAACAAACCAGAATTTAAGTCCTGCCTCCTGGGTTTGGCTTCGCTCATCCTTGGCTTTTGTGGGCATTTGGGGGGGGGGGGGCGGTAAGGCCATGGATAGGAGCTCTTTATGTCTCTTTCAAATAAATAAGGTTTTAAAAAAGAAAGATTATTCTGAGTACTATGTGGATGGTGAGATCTGAAGGCTGGTGGTAGAGAAACTAGTTAGCAAAACTTCTGCTCACTAAATATGCAGTGACTCAAGTCCACCCTCTCTATATTTGTCAGATTTTTATTTTTTTACATTAGCTTTCTTACAGTAAAGATTTTTGCCTGGTTGTTGGATGGAATTTAACACACTAAGCCAATCTATTTACTTGTAATGCTCATCACTAATAGGAAACAAGACACTGCACTCTTGAGAGAAGCTGGCCCTGCTCAGTTGACTAAGTCCCTTGCATTGATGATGAAAGATTGTAAATGGATTGAGCAGGTTGATGGTGTCAGTTCCAATTTGTTGAGCCACCGAATCATGTTGTCAACAATTAGCATCTACAAAATATGATCACACATACATCACTCTTTCAGCAAAAGACAGATGAACTCTGGCTGTGGCTCTGAATGCGACACAAGTTCTTTTTTTTTTTTCAAATCACTTCTTTGTAGGTGCTGCTGACTAAGGACTGAATAATTACAAATATTTAATGAGTACTTTCTAGGTGTTAAGGGACCCCAAGGATGTAGCAGAGAAACCAAGAAGCCCCTGATGTCTTCAGAGAGTTCCCATTCTTATGAGGCACAGATAAGGAGATAGGAATAAGGCAGTTGTGTGGGAGTGGGGATTGGTGGTAAACATTGTGCTGGAGGAGAGCTGGAGCAGTGCATGTCCTCTAAATGTCCCACAATAGGGACAGAAAGGAGGGTGGCTTTTGTGCCATGATGCCTGTCTCTGACTTGAAGTGGCCTGGCTCAGTGAGGAAATCACTGATTTTCAGTGACGTTGCTGGTGCAGAGCTCAAGTGGATTCCTTGGGTGTTTTCTCTGATTATCATCCTCACTGACCATTATCACTCTAGTGGGATGGACCATTTTCCTATTACAGAGTGGAAATTCATTTCACAAGTTCTGTTTGTTCATTTGTTAATTCTGGGAACATATCCTGGCCACTGAATGCCTTCAGTGGCTTATGCAGCTGCTGGGATAATATAGCTTCATTAAATATGAGGCCCATCTTTAAGATGTTTATGTTCATACCAGCCATTCAAGATGAGGTAGACTGGGGATAGGGGTGGCTAAAACCAGGGTGAGATTTCACAGTCAAAAAGCATTGCTGTGAGTGGAAGGAGCTGGGTTGGTGAGAGTGGTAGTGATAAGGGGAGCAGAGAAGGAGGAGAGAAGGTTGAAGCTGAGCTTTAAAGAGTTGAGGAAGGAATTGGTCACCTTCACCCAACATCTTTGCCCTAGCCAGGAAAGACTCTAATCTGAAATGAAGTGTCTGGGTTCAGACTTGAAGCCCAACCTATACTATCCCTTATCAGCTAGGAAATGGAGTGCTTTTGGATGATGTCATGGAGACTCAGCCTGTTGTCTGGAATGACCTGGGCATGGTACCTGGCACAGAGTAAGCACTCAGTCACTACTAGCTGCTTTGGCCATCAGCCAAGCCTTGTCACGGGGGCCCTCCTGACACTGCTAGTTTGGTAGAAGCACCTATGACCGGGTCATCTATTTAGTGGACAAAAGGTGAAAGCTTGCTTGACCATTTCACCACAATGTGTTAAAGCAGTGAGGAAAGAAAGCGTCTTATATCTCAAGCCCTGTTAGAAGTTTTTTCTTCCTGCCTGCCTCTGGGGCTGAATTTTCTACCCATTGTTATGAAAACGTGGCCTAGAATTTTTTTAGCTGAACAGTCTAGAGCCCTTGGGAACTGTCAAAAATGAGATTGGAACATAAATATGAAATGACAGGCAGCTTCATGTGCTGTTATTAAACTTCACAGCTAGAATTTTTAAAAGCAAATTATCATGTAAAAATATTCTTGTTATGTTAAACTAGAAATGAAAATGACTTATTTATTTGCTTAGATCAAATTGTTGGAAGCAAAGTTAGGCTGTATTTTTTTTCCCTTGCCAAATGCTTTGATGCGTCCCTTTAGCCAAACAGTTTAAAAATGAACATAGTTAAGAGGCATCAACAACAGAGGGGTTGCTAGCTCCTAAGGGTCTTAGTCTTTCAAATGGGTCAGTGAATAGAGATCTAAAACAAGAGTCAGAGGCCTTAATGTTTTTTTGCATTGAACCAAGACAAAAGTTTGCTTATCGATAGTAAGGGTATGCTATTTAGGAGACTAGTAATTGAGCTTATTTATGGGTACTTAGGCATCGCCTTTAAGTGCCTTCTTTACGAAGAATGGGTGGGTGTTTTCAGGGCCTGGGACTTACCTTGTGGCCACGAGATGTCACTGTCGAGTCACAGAATCACAGTCCAAGGGGCTGAGAAATATGGGGAGGATGTTTACATGACCGAACAGTTCATTCTTTATTTTAAATGTCTGCTAAGTTTGGGATACTGGGGAGATCAGTTGAAGTCAGGAGAGTACTTTAGAGTATAGAAGAAAATTTGGGGCAGTAGGGAAAAATGTGATATTTGCTCTTTCTGTCTTCTGGATATAAATTTTTCTTTTTCACTCAATTACTGGTACACTTGGTCTCCTTCTATTCCTCGGCGAGAGTTAGACAGTAAATGCAGGAGATGGAGAGATACTTGCACAGTGGCAGAATATTCAAGTTGTAAGAGATCATGTAGCACGTGGCTTCATCTCAGGCACGTGGGAGCCAAGAGGGCAATGCATTGTTCAAGGTCATGGTGAGCTTTAGGCTGCATTTCTCCTGTAAAGCTTTTCAATGAAGGTAGAGGTCAGCGTATCTCTAGGTGTGATCCCTGGATCTACAGCATCAGTGTTATCTGGGAACCTGTTAGAAAAGCATATTTTTGACCTCTACCTCAGACCTACTGAGTCAGGTAGGCTGGCTTGAGACTTAGGAGCCTGCTGTAACTAGCCCTCCAGAGGATTCTGATTTGATAGAAGTAAAAGATGACTTATGGTAGGAGTAGGAGAGTTTTGTTTCTGGCTTCTTTGTGCTTCTAGCATCTCTCCAGACCCTGTGCTCTGAAGAGTACTGCTATTACACAGCTTCTCATTGGAGCCTGCTTCATGTACACAGTTCTGGGAGTTAAAAAAAGTCTCCTTTCTAGATATATCTGCATTTGGTGGCGTCGACAAACCTTGGAGAGGGGCATGATCATCACCACTTCTTTTTCTTTGTTTACAAGCCATGAAATGCCTGAGATCACACTGGAGAGGGCTTGTACATGCAGGGGAAGATTTCAGTGGAGTTTTATTTCTTTCCCATAATCTCTTTGTGTTTAAATTGGCTTTCAAGCCCCAAGAGGGATTGTTTTCCCCATCTAGACCCAAAGACAATGTCTTCTGGAGGCTAGAGTGGCAAAAGAAGAGAACTTCCTACAACTCTGTGCCAAGAGAAAGCCTCCCCTCAAGAGAATGTGCATCTTCTGGGCTTGGTAATGGTGAGTCCAGAGGTGGGACTCTAATGGAAAGAAGTATTCCTTAGCTTCAGCCGTCACTTCATGGTGTTATCTCCCAATCGTGTTGAGGGCTGCCTGTTTCTCTTCCCCATGTGTTTCTGAGAGTTTAATCTCAGGTAGACTAATGAGATTTTTTTGTTGTTGTTATATGAAGTTAGTACATCCTCTTTGTAATTTGTGGCATCCTCCAATTTTCCTTTGTTTGTATATATCCTAAAGATTGTGTCTATCTCATTTTGCTATTCTGATGCTTAGGAAAAGGCCTGCTCCAAGTCCTGTACTGCTGTATACCAGGAACATTCTACCAAGCCTCTTTCTTGCCTTATTTACATCTTCTGTTTTGTTCCTTTCCAGCAAGTGGTACCGAGAGACTGCAGTGCAACTGCCAGGAAGACAAAGGTAAGCACATACAGATGACTTCCAGCATCTTCTGGCATTCGCTTTTCCTCCTTAGCAGACACATCTTAGAATTTTACAACATTTATGTTGTTTAATGCTCCATCTCATTTTAAGGCTTTTCTCCTTTTTTTCCAGGCTATTTCTTTGTGATACAAGACTTAATTCTACTTTTTCATTTTTGAGTGAGAATTTCATTTACTTTAATGTTTAGTCATTTGCTCAGCCTAACTTAGCAGAGTGGGTTATTCTACTGTGAGAAAGTGAGTGTTGATGGGAAGATTCTCCTTTGCCTTCTCTTGTAATTCTCCAAATGTGAAGTTGGGAATCAGGTACAAGCTTTGCCTTTTGATGGGTTGTAGTAAGTTAGGTAACCTCTGCTCTCTGAATTTCGGGAAAATGGAACAAAGTTCAGGGAGGTAGAGATTCCTATCACTAGGCTACCATGTGCTGGTGATACTACTGCCAGTGTGGGGATTTCTTGTGACACAAAGAGGGTGGGTGCAGCTCTTGCTGAGAAAAGTGATGGTGACCAAGTACAGGGATGCTACCGCCTGTGCGAAATTTTCTGAGGCCCAGTCATCTATTTCCTCTCTGATTCTTTATTGCAGACCCCATTGAACCCCATCCTTCTCTCATACTCTCTTATTTCTGTCTCTCTTCCCAGTAGTGGTGTGGATGTGGGGCCCTGTTATGCAGGAAAAAAGGAGTTGGTTAGACTTCCAACACCTTGAGTGATGTGTGGTGTTCAGTAGAAACATTTATGGATGTTCATTGCCTTCAAGTGGAGTCTTGACGCAATCAGCCTGAAAAGGCATAATGATGGAGCCATTTATTTCAGGATCCTTTATGTTGGAAAAACTTAAGGCTAAAAAGACTATGGCAAGACTTGTCCTTCTCACAAGCCTGCATGTGTGGGTGGAGTGGGACCTCTCTGTTTCTTATTCTGAGCACAGGGGCAGGTACATAATGAATATTGATTGAATGACTGATGAATGAGGAGACCTGGGATCTAGACTCAGAGTATGTGATCTTGTACAAATCAAATTTACTCTTCTGTATCCATTCTTCCATTTGTAAAAAACTAGTATGTATCCCTAAGTTTTAGGCTGAATTCTTCAGGGGTAACTTTTGATTTGTGGCTTCAGACTTGAGTAACTCCTTAAGCAAGTGCTCCCAGGGCAGAGAAGTGAGAGAAAGGGAGACAGCAGAGCAAGACTGGAGAGATCACAGACAAATCCTTAAGACTGGCTCTGCCCTGAATTCACAGGAGAATTCTAGAAGGTGGCTTGGGCTTTACCTGGTCTCAGTCTGAGGCCAGGGACTGGACCTTCCGCCTTCTTGCATTTTGGTTGCTGGTTAGAACTAGAATGGTGTGTGGGAATATAAATTCCTTTGCATTTTCAGCTCTCCAGCCATATGGGGAAAATGGTCTCTAAAAGCTTAAGGGAAATCCTCCAAAACAGTGTTGCAAGGTAGAAATGGAAGCACATAGTGTGAGACAAAAATGGAATTGGGAGGCACTGACCTTACCCTAATGTTCTATCTCATCTACATTTCTGAAGGGTTATGGGCATCAGATGAGGAACTGTGGGCAAATTTTGCTTGAAAACTGCGACATTTCATTCCAAAGTAGCTAGTGGTTTTTATATTCAGTAGAATGTTAAAAGAAAAAAAAAGATAGAGTCTTGTACATCTGTAAAGACCTAGAAAACCAATGTCGAGGATCATTGTTTACTCTGGCTCATAAAGAGTCACCCTGAGATAAAATTCCATGTCCTGTGAGAACTGATAATCCAGTACTATTTTCCAAAGAATTGTAATTTAAATTAATGCTGCAACTACAGGCAAGACAATTTAATCTCTATTTGATGCTTCAGAAGACATTTCCCAATATTGTAGGGCCTCAGGGTCGTGATTATCATTGCGCAGCCAACATGCAGACGTCTAGTTAACAGGCTGGGTTAAAGGAGTAGGTAAAATGGTACCTCCACCCCCGCTCTCCTCTGTTATGATAGGGGAGAGGTGCTGGCTGCAGCTGTATTTTCAAATGACTAAACATTGAAATGTTGACAATTTTTCAAGCTCAAAGTTTTGATTGTCCTTTAAATTTTTGACTGAGACAGACCAAGATGGGGAATCTTACCTGACTTAATTGGATAATCTCAACTATAAAGACATGGATCCTGTGTCATGGTTAAATAGAATTTTGCTTGACAATGTCTCACAGAATGGGAAATAAAACTTTCAGAGTGGAGGTATCCTATTGCAATACCGCCTCCAGTACCACTTCATGGTTAGGTGTGAATTGCCATTTTGGTATTCATATTTTATTATGTACACAACAAAGCATTTCCCTTGCACTGGAGTGGCCAGGATGAGATCACTCCTATGAACTTACCCATTGTCAATTCTGGCCACAGTTATTCAAAATTTCCTTTCAACCCCCCCTCCTCTGGTGCACTTTGAAATCACATTACTGATACATTTTGGGATCCTTTCACTTTTCATGGTTTGTAATAGGCATATACACATGTTACTTTGCTTCTTTGGGGATTGGTTTCAGGACCTCTGTAGACACAAGGATCAGTGGATGCTCAAGGCTGGTATGTAGAATAGCATTGGGTTTGGACACAACCCACACTTTCTCTCTGCACTCTTTAAGTCATCCCCAGGTTTCTTATAGCACATAATACAATGTAAATTCTATGTAGTTACTTCCATATTTTTAGAGAATAATTGAAAAATATGTATATGTTTAGTAGAAACAGAAGTAGTTTTTAAAGAAATATTTTTGATCTGCAGTTGGTGGGAACTGTGGAGGTAGAATCCATGGGTTCAGACAGCGATGGGGATGCAAGCAATGGAACAGCCTCAAAGCTGGGGAACATAGGAAAGGAAGAAGAGGGAAAAGTGTTTTCTGGATACTATTAATAATGAGTATCATAGAAGTCACAAAGGAGGACTTCCTCTTCTGTCCAATTTATGCTTCTTGATGGCTAGATACACTGCTGCAGAATATTGTGATTTTTCATGATTTTGTAGGGACTGTTTGTTGTTTTCATTCTTTTATCTCTCTTTTACTTTGTCATGAGTGCTGGTAGTAAAAATAATGCATTCACTCAGTTGCAGATTGGTTATTTATCATATTCTTTCTATGAGCCAGGTGCTGGGTTGAGCTTTGTAGCAGTAAAAATAGTCCAGACATGGCCCCGTCTTCAAGGTTCTGGAGAAGTTAGAGTTGAGGAGGGAATAAAAGTACAACCATACCAATGGACAGTGAGGGTTGCCCTTCAGAGGAAAGTGCTGGGGGTCATGAAAGAAGATGAGGATGCAGTGTGAAGGAGAGCGAGGAAGTGTTTGATTACACAGCAGTCCTTGTAAGCTCAGGTCCTAGTCTGGGGAGGGGAGTCAATTGGTAGGAAGAGGCAGAGACAGCTGATTCTCACAGGTGGCTGTAACACACCTCTGGCTGTTGGACGCAGTGTACTTCCTCATACCAGGTTCTGGTGGAGCCATTCTAGAGAGGAGCTGAATATATAAACAGACAATGGCAATGGCCATACCATAGGCAACAGTAGAACTTCAACCCAGACCTTTGTAGTATGGACACTTCCTCAGATTTTGCTACCATTTGTAAAATAAGACCAATGAGACAAAGTCAAATCTGCTTCTCTAACCAGCTGCATAGGATCCTCTGCTTTTCATTGGCCCGTCTAACCCTGAAGTCTTCCCTTTGTCCGTTTTGAAGCTGTGAGTCTTTGCCAAATGCAAGTGATGGAGGTTGACAGAGCGCTGGGTGACTGTTGAGGTAGGAAAGGACCATGCTGCGGTTCCAAGGCAGTGTTCACAGACACCTTCCAAAGCTTTGAAGAGTCCAAGGAGGAGGAGGAGAGCAGGATTCCTTTGAAAGGTGGAGACGTGGTACCAAGTTCACAGTCTTTTCATCCCCTTCAAGCATGTTTCAGGATAATAGAATTCCTGATAAGCTATGTACAAATCATACTTCTATAAATTGGTCCTCCTTCCTCCATGATTTACACTTTCTTTTAAGTGCTGATTTATCATCATTTTTTTTTTCCCTTGGCAACCATCCTTATGACTTGCCTCTTGGTTCTAGCCTCCCTGGCAGATAACTAATGAGCTCTTAATATGGCTTATGGGCACCGAAGGGAACACAATATTTAAAGACACCTTTCAGGGAATTTTTTTTTTTGGTATAAGAAATCCTTTGTCATGCAAAAAATCTCAAATACAATTGTTAACTGTTACCCTTTTGAACTTGTGAACAGGTCGAAAGCAGATCAGAAAGTTTGCCTAAGTTGGTTTATGTTAGTCTAAAGATTTAGTGACCCAGATTTAGTTCCTCATGGTACTACTCTAGACGGGAATAGGGTCTTATGAAAACTTTTTTTTTATTACTTGACCTTTTTTGTCATTATGGTCAACAAATATTTATTATTATTTATTATGTGTCAGGTCCCATGGGAATATAATATAATGGTGAGTGAGACGATCATTGTCCTTGTGGTGATCACAGCCTACTGAGGAGGTAGAGACTTAACACATAATTATGCACATAATGAGTTCACCACACATTTGATAAATATTATCAAGATACCAATGCAGGAAACTAATGAGGCCTGAGCTCCTTTGTGGGGAGGGAAAGTGATTTGGGAAGTGATAGTTAAACGGAGCTCTAAGGATGAGTTAGAATTAACAAGGGAAAGGGCACTTCAGGCAGGGAATAGCATGTGCAAAGGCCCTGAAGAGAGGAGTTCAACTCTTTAGAAAAATGGGAGAATGATGCCGTGTGAGACAGAGTGGTGAAAGCAGAGAGTGGGAAATGACAGGCTGCTGAGATGAATGTGGGTGCTGTGATGACAGTTCTTATGGACTGAGTGTTTTGACTTGAATCCTAGGAAACATGAATAAGTTATTAATGGATTCTAGGCAGGAAAATGACATGCTCATATATTCTTTTTTTTTTTTTTAGAAAGATTTG